TGACTTTATGATATTTATTATCTCTATTTTTGAAAATTAATTTATTTTATATTTAGGAAATACCACAAGATGAAATTGAACTAGGAGCTAATGATAAAATTATCCAAGCATTTCATTTTACTAAGGAACCGTTACGCGCGCATGGAATTCCATTTAAATTTGTTCTTAAAACTGTTAGTATCTTTAAATATTATTTTCAATGATTACTTGTATTTATGCTTGTTATGATTTTTATGATTTTTATATAATTAGGGTGAACCCTTCTCTGTGACAAAATCGCGCCTTCAATTACGCATAGGAATGAACGAAAAAGATTTCATTAAAGTGAAAGTTGCAATTATTCATGTGGCATCATATGCAAAGCCTCAATATATAGAAGATAATAGTATGTATACTCGTTTTTTATTTTTGTAAAGTTTAAATTGCTAATAATTGACAAAATGCGCGTTCATTAGATATTATTCTATCAGATTATGGATTAACAAATGAGCTCTTAGGTCTTGATCATGTGGATAAAACGGGACGTGCAGGAAGAGTAGGTGGTGAAAAAGCGATATATATTAGAGGATAATATTTTTTTAGTATAATCAACTTTCTCTAAATACATAGCTTTTAAATTTGACTTAAACTTTAAGACTCTTTTTGGTTTCTATATGTAACAATGTGAATTTTGTTCTTTTGAAATGCAAATTTTTAACCGTCCTAGTATCACCCCAAAGATCAGTTAGTATGTAATTATATCAGCTGGCTAATAAAGACCCCGACCTTGATTACTTTATAGTGTTAAAAATAGATCAAGCCATATTTTTTCATATTTGCAAATAAATCTGTGTCAGTTGTAGGATTCTTAAGAGCATTGTAGGTCTTGCCCTAAACCCTAACTAACCCTTACCTTAGAGTTGGTAAAAGTTTGTCCATAATTTATGTACTTGAATTGCATGTATATAAGATAACATTATTGTTAAATTAAATTGTTTTAAAACATAATTTATTATTTCTCATTAATGTTATATATTCCAAGATTTTGAAATAAAATCTTGCTAGAAATAAATTTTATTTCAATGTTATTCATTTTTTTACATATATTAGTTCTTATATCATCATTGAAATTTCTATTTTGTTTCTATTCTTGTAATGCTAGCCCTCAAAGTCAATCGTAAATTCTTAATAGAATATGTAATTCATCAACAACCCAATAGGTTATTGAAATTATCGAAAATAATAATACTTTTGAATGTCCAGAATAATAATCAAGTAGTATAATAATTTGTTCTATATGTTTATTAATTGTCCAATTTTTGTTTTTATTTTCTAGATCTTTTTGAAGCAATTGTACCATGGACAATAAAAGTTGGAATTTACTACATTGAAGCCAAGAAAAATTGCTAAGAACTTCTAATCAGAACTAAAGTAAACTCTATATTCCAATGTTTTCTAGAGGTATCTATAATTTTAATTTTTTTTAGTTCGGTTAGATCTTGAATTAATGGTATCAAGCTAATTTTAAATTTTCATAATTTTCAATACCGGGGTACAATAATAGTGTATAATGATTATCAGGTTGGGAAGTTTTAAGAGAGTTAACCCAGTGATTATCTCGAATTATCACCCTCGATATAATCACGTAGGAATTTTGATTGGCTATAAAATGTAAACAAATGTCAGATGATCCACGTTTGTTTGGGAAACTCTCCGGACACCAGGGACACGGAAATTTTTCGAAAGCAACTTTTCAAAAGAAAACAAAATTTTTTGCCCCAATCGAAATTT